TTTTAACGATTTTTTTCACAAATATCGTTTTAACGGGTTTTTCACAAATATCGTATTAACGATTTTTTTCACAAATATCGTTTAACGGTTTTTTTTCACAAATATCGTATTAAGGATTTTTTTCACAAATATCGTTTTAACGGTTTTTTTACAAATATCGTATTAACGATTTTTTTCACAAATATCGTTTTAACGGGTTTTTCACAAATATCGTATTAAGAGGTTACATAGGTCCTGAGGGCCAAAAAAACTTAATTTTCTTTAATATTTTTTTAAAAGATACTAAATAAAGTATACAATTTATTTTGTTTACATATAAAAGTACAATATGTGAACAACATTTAATGAAAGTTTGAATGAAAAATAGTATAAGTTAAGGCGTTGGCAGCGACGTGAAGTAGACCGTCCACAAGAAAGTGCTTTCGCTGTAGTCATGATAACTTCTTCAATTTTTATCTGAAATCAAAAATCCAATTTTTTTCTTAAAGTAGGTGAATTTTCCTTTTCTCTGAACGAAGAAAAGTAAAAAAATTGAAAATTGAATTTTTTTTTTACAAAAAACGTCATTTCTTTCATTAAATTAGGCCACATATTGGCTTCTGAAATGAGTTGGAATCAAAGATAAAATAAATCCTTCATTTAGGGTCTACAGAAACATGCTTAAAAGAATTGTGGAAATTTTGAGAAATTTTGACTACCGATTTCGATATAGTGGTTTTAAGAAAAACGCGCTTAAAGTTTTATCATCGGTCAAACCATGATACAGATGGAGGATTATAAAACTCTCTAATTTCTACACTTTCGTCTCGATAGACCTGAAACTTGGAGAAAATATTCTTTATTCTCTGTACTTTTAAACAAAAAAATTATCAAAAAAATGAATTTTTGAAGTTTCAAGATCTATGTAACCCTTTAATGATTTCTTTATGTCAAAAGCAGCGAGTAAAGTGTAGTTACAGTTGCAAGTAGAGTTAATGGAAACTCAACCGTCTATAGTCCGAGGATTTTTTAAGAGTAACAAAGAGGAGTTGAACTAATTTTGGGAGAAGATGAACGAATTAAAACCACAAAACCGCATGTAAAAAGAAGAAGGTAAAATTGCTTTTCCAGTAAAAGGCGATTTTTTAAGTTGGCTTTCACTTTTACGAGGTATTTGCTGATCAAAAGATGTGCGGCTCAAAACTTGAAGGCCAGAAAACACAACCGGAGGTTGCCCTAACGTATAGCGTAAATTGTCCCCTTCCGAAGGGATGAAAGAGTCGGTGGAAGGGTTGCCTGCGAGGAAGTTTGGATCGCAGGAGCAGGAGATCTTGGCAAACGACGTGAATATTTGCCATAGTCTATAATTTATCTGCGTTGAAGAAGAATTCGTTGCTATTCTTCCACATTTCCACATCACTTTCGCCACATAAACAAATGTTTATTTATTGCTTATAAAGTTCATTTACGCCACTGTATTTCATATGAATTTCAACAAGAAAAAAATGCTACAGCAGTATGTAGATATTTATTTAAAAATGTTTGGTTAAGGTACAGTTTCTGATAGGACATGCAGAAGATGATACGAAAAATTTGAAACAGGTGATTTCAACCTTTCTGATAAGTCACGTTCTGGGCGACCATCTTCGATCGACGACGATGTTGTTAAGGCAATGTTGAAGCATGATCCTTTTCTGACAACATCGGATATCATGAATGCAGAGCAGAATGACTGAATTCAGCTCAACAGACCATTTCTGACCAAATTCGGATGATAGGATTTTTTTTTATTCCAAAAACGAACAGAACTTCCGGTAGACCTAACAGCAAATGTCAATAATACACAATATTGCCGCAGCTGATTTCGAAAGGGAAAAAATCCTATTCCCAAACAAATCATTCTCCATGCTCATTTAGGAGTAGCGGATTTTCTCTTTTCTTAGAGAACATTCCCGCAAGAATATTTATAATTGGGCTGATATAGTTACTCGCTTCTCTTCTGTCACGTGGTCTCAACTGTCAATATGAAGTTCAGGAAGATGTTGACAGATTCTCAGTGAATGGCGTTTAATGCATGTTGGTAATCCTTTCTGTCCAGCGGTTGTTGTAGGTAGTGCTGAATCCTGTTCTTAAGAACGAGTTTTACCTGCCTGGGATGTAGCTCAACCCTAGTAAGCCTCTGTTGGAATGTTCCCTACAATAGCATTCCAGCAGGAATTACTTGCACGACAAAGCAAGTCTGGAGTCTGGAGTTTTGTGGCAATTGCGGTCGTATGCGGAGCGAAGGAGTGCAGGCTGTCGTATGGCACTCCCAGTAACTTTGGGTTGTTTATAATCGCTTTTTACGCCATCAATTGCAAATCGAGCTCGAGCTTGAACCCCTTCGTTCAGCTGGTGAAGAGGATATATGAGGACTTTGCTGGTTGTAATTGTTTTGCAGCGAAGAAGTGGGAAAGGCCTTCGAGAAAGCAGTTCAATTTTGATAATTAGTCATCACCGAATTCGGTTCTATGCTTCAGAGTTGACCCTGATTTTATCCGGCCAAGTGGTGTCACCCTTTCGGCGGCCTAATCCCATATGGGTCAGCAGGCATCATTAAATAAAAGTTTCGGAAGTTGAAAGAAAAGAATAACTTCTTGTATACAGCCATGCATCTTGGTCTTCGAGAATGGATAAACACGCCAGATAGCATCCGCAACCTCGATTTGAGCAGATCCATGGCTGTTGGAGACCCCAATCACAATCCTTTCACAAGGGGCCAACAACTAGCAAACGCCAGTTATTGGATGCGTAGTAATAAGCTGGAGGAGAGAAAGACTACCAGTAGTGCTGGAAAGGATAGAAGCCCCTACACAGGGGCTACACATGCTATCAATTATAATTATGTCATAGTGAATGCTACGGCTGTAATAGTCAAGTGTCTAACATTGCGTTTTGCCATTCGGAAGGCCAGAGTTCAAATACTGGTCCGATCGATTCAGAAATTTAGCAGTTGTGGGGGCCAATTAAGAAAGTCGCAGTTATTCCACTTAATGATGGAGAACTTTGTGAGCCTGTGGGAAAGATGTATCGGCTTAAGGGTCATGTGAAGATGTAGTTAGTGTCGTTCGAAGACTCTCCACATCCTGAGCATACGTCGGGTATGTTGGTCGAGTCGGGATAGGTGGGAGTTTTACCTGCTACAATATCCAGATCTAAGTTGTGCCAGTGGCGCAATGTTGCTAAATCGGCTATAATCGCGTAAGCGGTGTCTACGCCAGTAAACTAAGTAAGTTGTGGCAGTGTCACGCGGATCTCTCGAGGCAACTCGAGCTCGTTGTCTGCGATAGGTGGTGGCTTATCTCCGAGCAAGCAATTCACGGGAAAGAAGTCTTTGAAGGTATTGACTGACTACTGGTGACTAGCGTTCAGTGATTGTCTGTACGCCGTCCTGTCCAGCGGTTGTTGCAAATCTTGCTGGATTGTGTCCTTTAAACCTGGTACTCCCTTTCTGATGTGCCTAGGTAGAAAATTCTATTATTCTATTATGTGCCTATTGGAATGCTCCCTACGGTGGCATCACAATAGGAACTGCTTGCAAAGTTTACGACGGGCCGGCCAATCGCTTTATAGGTTGTTAGCTAGGTTTTTTTTATCTTAACCAAAGGTGCTCCCGTCTAGCGCTTTGAGTATTTTGTTGCGGCAATTGTGCTCGTATGTGGAGTGAAGGAATGCAGGCTGTCGAGTTTGACTCCCAAAATCTTGGTATTAATTATGGTCGGAATTTTCACGTCATCAACTTTCACATCTAATTCGAGCCTGTATTCCTTCGTCCACCTAGTGAAGTGTATTTTAAGTTGCCATGCAGTGAAGAAGCGGGACAGGGACGAGATAGCAGTTCACTTTCGAACAAAGGTTATCAATATCCTGGCCAGACGCCCATATAGTGCAATAATCGGCTCATGAGGTTAGGGAAACTCCTTTTGGTAGAGGATGGAGTTTCGAAATGTAGAAATTAAACCATAGTGGGGAGAGAACACCACCTGCGGTAACCTCGGGTACTCCTTGTTTAATTTTCCTAAGGGGATTGAAACATTCCTCCATCGTTTTTTACTCCTGACCAGTTTCACTGAGGCTTTTATCTTCTCACGAATTGTTGAGATGATGCACTACAGCGACGAAATCATTGTCAAATACACAATCCAAGCTCAAATGCAGCTCATAGGAGGGGCATACTATATATATGTATATTTATAATTGGCGCTTTGTAACTGCTGAAGCGTTTTTCCGGCCGAGCTCCTCCTCCAATTTGTGGTTTCGCGTCTTATTGTTTTTCCAACAAATGGACCGCCTCCGACTGGCTGATGGTTTTTTCATGAGGAGCTTTATTTAGAAATTAGAAAATTTGACTATTTTTTTTTTATTAAAATTAAAATTTCTGTAAATTTTGGATGTTTTTTCCACGTAAACATCAAAAATTATAAATATAATGCGCCCTGTAGTAGTAATTCACAATTGAGCGACTGCCCGAACGAATGTTTTAACGCGAAGATTTGTTCGCAACAGAATTGCGTGACATACATTTAGCGTTGAAAATAATCTTGATTCATCTAATTTTCAAGTTTTTATAGATAAAATTAATTTTAAATATGTATGTATGTCAAAATAATTACACCCGTTATTTCGGTACACAAATGTTGCAAGTTGTTTACTATCTTTATTTTCAGAACCTATTCTGTATTCTGTATGACAATACATTTTTTGCCGCAAGTTTATAGAAAACATTTACGGAACTGTACTTAATTTCATAGTCAACAAAAGTAATTGATGCTCATTTCTTGTAATTCGTGCAAATGCTAGAGTAAAATCTAAAATTTTGTGAACGAAAACTCAACCAGGTAAGTGACGAAATGGTTCATAGCGTATTTAGGAACTAAAATTTAACGCTAAGATAGCGTCATTGAAAACCACGTGTTTTCCAATTCAGACATACCCAAACCATTCTTAAAATTTGCATACATACACACACAAAATACAAACAGTTAGATTTGACTTCTCACCATAAGTCGAGTACTTTATTGAATATTTGTTTGAATGTACAGGTTTAGCCTTTTTCTTGGTAAGAGGGATGATTTGCTATAAATACTGGAAATAATAATGCAAAATACATCCCTCTATTTGTAGATGTCAACTGTTAAAGTATAGTTGCTTCAAATTGAAGATTGATTATGAATGCATCAATCTCTAACATAAAAACTGAACACTTTTCATAAAATCATACACATAAAAATCTATGGGTGTATACTTTTTCTGTTTTTTTCTCTTTTAGTTTGTTACTGAATATGTTTATAGTTTATATGTAATATTAAGATCTAAGTTAAGCCGCAACTTCTGATGCCTCGGAACCATTTTGGTTATCTTCTTTTACAGAATCGTCTAACTTAGGTTTTTTCTCTGGTGTTGCTGCAGTGGGTTCTTCTGATTTAGTTTCGTCATCGGCAACTTTTCTCTTAACAGCTTCTGCAGGAGCTGAATCTAAAATGAGAGCGTAATAATTAGCATATTTTTCATATATAAAAATATGTTTAGATGGTGTACATACCAGTTGCTTCGCTTTCCGCCTCAGCCTCCTTGCCATTTTCTTCGGCAGGAGCAGCAGCTTCAGCCTCAGCAGACGCTTCTTTCGGAGTTTCGGTTGTAGATTCAGCAGCTACCTCTTCGGCAGCGTCGCCGTTTTCTTTGGCGGATGCACTATCAGCACTACCATTTTCAGCTGCTGGTGCTGCTTCTTCTGCAACCTCTCTTTCTTTTTTTGCTTCTACCTCTTCAGCAGCGACTTTCTCGACAACTGGGGTTTCACTGTAAGAAATAATTACAATTAAGAAAATAATATTCTTCTATTTTTTCTACACTCTGTATGCTCTATATACTCGGCTTAATTATAATGATTCATATTCTATCACCGCGAAGCTGAAAAGTTTACAACTTACTTAATTCGTATTGCATATTTAGCAAAACTCGTTATTTGTTTAGCTGTAGCCAAGCGTTAAAAATAAGAATTGAAGTTGGCAACAAAAAATAAAACGAAGTATATGAAAAGCTTTTAAAGAATCACCACAGCTTATGGTACAATAGTGTAGTTGTGCGCAGTAAAAATATATCAAAAACGAATACATACGAAAAAATTCAAACGAATGGAATATAAGCGAAGCGTTGATAAATGATGTATGTACGTACATACGTGAATAGAACTAGTTTAGCGCAACAAAAACGCACAAGAAATATGCAAAAGCAAAAGCTAAAAGAAAAAAATCCGTAATAGCGAACGTACAAATGATGTGCTTATACATAGCATTGCGTGGTGGAAAAGGTTTTTGCCTGTATGTATCACCTTTTCCGTTTACTTGATTCAAAAAGCCGACCGCGTTGTATATGTCGCGCCAAAAACGAATGCGATGTATTATAGCTACGCTGTATTTACACGAAAGAGATAGAAAACGACGCCGAATGCCGCTATTTGTTATATACACAAAAATTTCCATATTTCTTTCAGCACTCACTTAATTTAACATTTCTTGAAATATAACTTCAACTATACTATAATATACATATATGTATATAGAAGTTCAATTGCTAAATGAAATTTTAACTCACTTCTTTTCAACAACATCAGCCATTTTGTTAAGGTTTTTTCTCAATTAACAGGAATGAATATTAAGCTTAATATAACTGTGATTTGTGTCTGTTTTATGAATAAAACACAAGAGATTAGCAAATGATTATGCTAAATGAATATACGATGGAGAAAATCTTCAAAATTGACAAACTTTTTTTTGGTGAAAGAGATGACTTTATTTTACGAACAAAATATCAGAAGACAAACACGTCCGAACCGTAGAAGCAACTAACGCCGAATGAGACGTTCCGAACATCTCAGCGTTCACAGGTAGATACACGAAACACAAGGTTGCATTTTCTAAACGTGTGAATAAGAAGGCTTACGATTTTTCTACCTGTGTACAAACAAAAAATATCAAAGACAATCGACTGTTGGAACACTTTTATATTGAAGAAACAAAAGTATACAAAGTAAGGTAAGCAGAAAAGATGATTAAAACACAAAAACAGCGCAAAAGTATACAAAATATTGAGGCATACCCTGTAACTGTTTTATGGCAGGTGTTGATTTTTCAATGGACGCCCGTATGCACATATGTATATACATGCACATATTGTAAAAACGCATAGCATGTGGACAAATCGGAAACAGAACGTGGAAAAGACTATGGCATTTGCAAGACGACAGAGACCGGTGCGTACGAGTTTTCCATGTGGCAGAGAAAATTCCAAGAAAAAGTACACCTAATTAGGTGGAATTTTCGACACAAATTTCAAATCAGCGTTACTTTAAGCGCCAAATAAACGATACAAAAACTCTTTTATATGAAAGCTCACAATCTGCCTTTTAAACGTAAACAGCACTAGTGCGTTTAATAAATGAACTAATTAATACAATAATCTGCATATATGTATGCATATAACGTATTTGCTAGGGAAATAACCAGTTTTGGAGTTAGGAAGGATTAATTTCAACGTACTCGTTTATTCTAAGTCTATTTAAATGACTTTTTATTAATACTTAAATTACTGCTATTTTAACTATATAAATACTTCTAAAGCAGTATCGAATCTTAATCCGACAGCGAATTCTCAGCGCTCCACTTATAAATTCTCATCTATAATAATATTTGAGTATGCACTTAATAAACTGTTGAAATATATTCACATGTGCATGCATACATGTATATGTACATATTTACCCTTCTCAACTAAGACGAAATTTTCGCTAACTCTGGAATGTTCGTCAATACGGCAGGGAGCATAGGAGACACGTTGTACCCATCAACGAATAAAAATATGTACATATGTATGTGTATGCATTTAATATTGCACAGTTGGTGATGAAACTTATCATTTCGTATTTCGACACATTTACTCAACTAATTTCTAACCAAAAGAAAAGTTCAAGGCCAAAACAAGCCTGCACTTTGACATCACTAAAATTCATAATACTTAAACTCCTGTGTAGTTTTTCTTTATTACTAGCAGGCTTATTGAAAAGTATTTTGTAGAATAGGGAAACAAGCAAATACAATCAGTACTTAAAGATACTTTTCAATAAGATCTTTTCTCTCTATCTTTTAATATAAAACAGACACATGTGATTCTGAGTAATTTTTTCAAAAATCAGTTCAATGAGCGAACATCTACAGCATTATAACTAATACATTAATGTTTATACATATGTACATCCGCTGCTAAAAAGGTTTGGGTATTTTAAATAAATTACAAAATGTTTTAATGTCAACTTCATTAACATAACTTAGATCAATTCAAAGCAAAATATAAAAAAATACTAATCATCTCATAAAGCTGAATGCATACATACATAAAGTTTACAAATCATAATGAGTATATAGTAGATGAATCAGACAGTTGTAAGATTCTAATTCTGTTTTAAATTTATTGCTTATGACGCAAAGCATCAATAAATTGTTTAGTTTATTTCCCCTTTATTCAAAATGGCCACATTGTTTGCATAAAGAGGTGGAAAATTGAGAACGTGTGAAAAATGATAAAAAAAAGTTTAGAAAAAAAATTTCGTTCCCACGCTTTATTTAAATAATGAAATATTAACACTACAGGGTGATATGAAGGAATCAAAATCAATTCATAAAAAAGAAGCAATGCTCAATAAAGTAATTAAATGAAATGATACATAGCGAGGTTATAACTGGGATAAAAATAACTTAAATAGAACAGTTTATTTTCAGAAACTATTTACAAAAAAATAAAATCCTCCTTACTTTATAATGTTTTAGTTTTTTTGCTTAAGCGATTGTTTCTTAAGGGCTTTCCAACAAAATGACGCACCTGTGGTTTAATCTAAGCCCCTTCCGAAGGGCTGATAGACTTTTATGGAGAGCTTTTCATTTCATGCCAGAAAAATACTCAGAGTAGTTGACATTCCATGTCCATACGCAATCCCAAACAGAAAAAATTAACCCAATTTTTTACTTAAAATTATTTTCAATAATATTTGATCCAGGACCCGAACCGATGACGAATAGACCTTAGTTTTTAACTGCACTTTATATTAAAAGCGAATCAAGAATTACGACCTAAAATTTCGTTGTAAAAATTGTTAACCTTTATACATCAATTTTTTTATTAAAAGTCCACATTTCTTTATGTTCCCTTTGACGTGCCCAATTATCATTTCACTTAATAAAATATATGCACTTTTCTTTTTTGAAATATGAGCAAATCTGACTTAAGTTAAAACTAAAAATTATGAATTTTGGAAAGCATATTTAGATTAGAAATGGTTGCAAATCAAAGTAATCTATTAATTAAGTAATAAATATACAAGCAAAATATAACGAACAATTTTTTAAAAGTGTTGTAACGATTTTCACTAAATACGCCTCGATGATTCGCCAAATCCTTGGAGATCGATGGATGGGTTGTTAAATAAAAGTAAAACAATTTCTAAATTGTAAAACTTAATGAACACATATTTACTACTCAATAAATAACACATCACTTTACTATACATAACGACTTGTTTGATAATTCAAACAATAAACGCTGTTCTGGCCGCTCTCTTATATACCTCACTGATTGTTCGTACTCGGCTCTGGTAAATTCCTACGATATGCAGGACATGATGATTTCGCCACAGTATTAAGTGAAAATAAAACTCTTCGCAGCTGCACATATGTATATTAAATTATTCAATTATAGGCAATATAAATAAAGAGTTTTCCGATAAGAGGGGATATTTTAAATACCCTGTTATTCCGGTAGGTGTCTTTTTTGAAACTGTAAATTTTTTAAATCTAACATGTAAGGACTGCCAGTAATAACAATATAACGATACTCAATTCAACAACGCATTGAAATTATTAAAATTCACTATAAAACTTTTATCTTTCTTTATGGCTACATTAGTAACCAAATCTCATGATGTATTATGGAACAATCTCTCCACCCTCAACGTATAACTGTTTGGTGCGGTTAATGGTACAGCGGGGTCGTTAAAGAGAAGGACCGGGTGTGCCGATTACCATTTGTTAGACTTACGGGATTGCTAGGAGACTATTTCACCTCTTTTCGATATTAGCAAGAGACTATTTCACCGCTAGTTAACAGCGAACCACCATAACACTGGCAATATATTTACAGAAGAATTATATTTGGGAGACACATGCGGCCTTTCTCATTATTTGACGTTATCTGGTGCCACACCAGCCACGAAACCATATATATTAGGGAAAAATTTCTTTGAACGCTCACCGACATGAAATTTTGTACAAAAATTAGTAATCAAATTGGATCTTTATATATTCTAAATGCGGCACATTGTAAATAATGAATAATGTCCAATACGTAATTGGATCAATATCTTCGTGTTTATAGAAATTTTTTCCGATTTAATAAAATAAAGTGCACCTTGTGTTAATTAGTTGATTTTTACGCTAAAATTGTCGGTAATATGGTAATACTCTTATTATGAAAATGAAATATGACAGCTGCAAAAAACAGGAAAACGATATAAAACGGAAGTTAAAACCTGTTCAAATTTATGCAGAAAGCAATATATTTTTTTCTTTCTTATTTTTATTTGCACACTTGCAAATTTAATACGATATTAACACAGATAAATACTTTTTATAGCATCTTTAAAGTTTACATTAAAATACCGTATGCATTAAATGCATGCTAATTATCTAGAAGGTAGTCAAGTAAAGTGCTAATTTGGAGAATTTATCACACGAATCTCAATTTTAAAAGCTGTAGCTTCTAATGCTTATATGTTTCCATATGCGTCTATCATTTATCATTTAATTAGCAGTTTCAGGTTTTTCTATCTCAACAAACCGATTGCGCTTATATTGATCTTTGTAACCGGCAATATAACGCAAGCGACCTTCATATTGTGTATCCATAATGGTTTGCACGAGTGGTGGATGATCCTCTCCCAATTCAAGCCACAATTTGCCTCCTGGGCGCAAATGTTTACAAGCTAAATTAAAAACTAAACGTGCTACACGTAAGCCATCAGGTCCACCATCTAAAGCATTCAAGTTCTCATAACTATAGGGTGGAAAAAATTATTTACTAGTTATAAGAAGTTCATAATAAGGTTAACTAACCATACAACTTCGGGCTGTAATAGTGGAAATTCTTCCGATTTTACATAAGGAGGATTTCCAATTATTAAATCATACGTTTCGTTTGCCAATTCAGATGGCAGATACTTGTCTTCTTCCATAGTGTGATGATATACGATAAACCGACTTTCTAAACCCACTAATTTGGCATTTTCTCTAGCCAACTCTGTAGCAGCATTTCCTCGTTCAATTGCTGTACTTTGCACATTGGGTAAGGCGTGCAAAATAGCCAACGACATAGCACCGGAGCCACAACCAACCTCCAACATTTTAATTGGTTCTTTAACATCACGATATACCTCAATTACTTTTGAAACGAATTCCTCAGTTTCTGGACGTGGAATAAATACTGAAGGCGAAGTCTTCAACGTCAAATCCATAAAGTCCCATTCACCAAGTATATACTGCAGTGGCATTCGCGCACAACGTGCCTCGCAAAGACGCTCAAAGTTTTGCATTTGGGTATCGGTGAAAAGTAAATTATTGTAATCTTTTACCGTATTCTACAAAAGGAAAATATAATTTAAGAAGTAATTTATAATAACAATATGCGAAACTTACAAATTTTCTGCCCAGCACATGTGCTACCAAACACTTTAAATTAAAATCAATATCACCTACGCCAGCTTTACGTAGTTTTTCGGGCCAACCTTCAAGGGCTTTATTTACCTCAATCGATGGCGGTTGCGTGGACTGTTGTTGTTCTTGTGACGAAGATACGCCGCTGGTGACACTAGCTGTGGCCTTGGTATAACTGACATCACTAGCACGAGAAATCAGGCGCATTTGATGACGCAATTGCTGCGCCACTAATTTCAACATGTTTGGACAAGTGTCTTGATAAATTTCTGTTAAGAAAACTTTATTGAAATATCAATAGCGCGTTGTACTACAATGAATGAAATAATTGCTCGAATATCAGCTGTGCACAGAAAAGTAACGATTACTCGGTATTTAAACGACATGAAACTTTCAGAGTTGCATTTACGGGTAGCAATTGTTTTAACGATGAAGTTGAATTTTTTAAACATTATATCATTCATAATAAATCTTTTATAACAGGTGTTCAAATATTAAAGAAATCTTGGAAAATGAAAAAAAAACAGGTGTACAACTTTGCTTCCACCGTTTTCCGATAGGTGGCAGTACCGGCTGAGGCTGGTTGAAATACAATACATAGAATGATAATAAAGTGAGTGTGGACAGTGCCTAACGAATTGTCATCGCCGTTTCAGTGACAGTTGTTTTTGTCGCATTGTTACGATTTTGCTATATCAATCTCGATGATTTTCTGAATCCTTCGGGTACGATCTCTGGATTGTTAAATAAAAATCGCCAACTTAATATGAAGTTTCACAACAATTGAGATTACTTAAATGTAATCTCCAACGCGCTTACTTAACGTCTCTATACTGATGTTGTCGCCAACGAGTTCACTTTGTAACTAACTTGGCAGCTGAGTGTCGCCCTTATATAGCAGTCGGCTGCTCGTAGACGAAAGTGTAGAATAATCGAGTTGTTTGCTATCGAAGGTTCTCGTTTTATCGTTCTAGAATGTACTAGTTATCGGCTTCTCTCTTTCATCTGACATTCGCCTCGCATTTTCGCAACAGTATTATTCACGCTCGAAAATGTCCGTTTATGTGCCTAATTCTCGACATTTGCGGGAAGTTTTACTTTTCTGTTACAATTCGAAAAAAAATGCAGCTGAAGCGCATCGAGTGCTCTCAGAAACTTACGGTGATGCTGCTCTGAGTAAAAGAACGTGTCGGGAGTGGTTTCAACGTTTTAAAAATGGTGATTTCGATGTCGAAGACAAAAATGGTGGTAGAAGAAAAAAAACCTTCAAAGATGAACAACTAGAAGCATTGCTTGATGAAGATTCGTGCCAAACCCAAGAACAGCTTGCCGAATTGTTGGGAGTGAGTCAGCAAGCCATTTCAAAACGTCTCAAGGCCCTGGACATGATTCAGAAAGACGGAAAATGGGTGCGAAAGACAATACTTTGAATAATATATCTGTAAGCACTTTTTCGAAATAAAGCTTTTAATTTTTGAAAAAAAAAACGGCGGAAGCAAAGTTGTACACCTGATATAATTATTTATTCTAATTAAAAAATGATTTTTAATAAGAAATACAGAGTAATTCTCAGCTGATATAGTTTCAAATAAAATAAACGACATACATATACAGTTAAAATCATTTTTAAACATTACCAAATCTTAAAACGACTGCATACACGGTTACACCGCATTGTTTGCTTTCAATCACCGATTATATCAATAACAGTTTCTGTGTCATGTGCAATTGTCACGTTTCTACCCGGAGAATCCTCTGTAACTGCAGATTCTAGTTTTTCTGTTTTTTTCAATTCTTCTGTAAGAGGCTTGACCTTTCCTGATTCTACTTTCTCTTCGTCGTCTGTTTCTGATTCGTATTTCTGAATTAAAAAAGAATTGATTTATATAATTTTATTCGCTTTCTCCTTTTCTAATTGATGATTAAATCAAAATATTTTTTGGCATATAAGATTGGGATACAAACCTTTTGAATATATTGACGACGTGCTGGAATGGTCAAATGCAGTATACAAGTTGAGCCATCGTCAAATATGCACGGCATGGGTTCCTGACATACAACTCCGCTCTTCTCCACTCCGCATGCACGAAAGAGTACTTGCTTTTTGTCTTCCAAAATATGCTTACGACAATATTTACAACATGGCATTGCTCGATCACCGCATTTAACGCCACCTTCAGTGAAAATACATTTATTAAAACTAGGACCTTTGTGGGCATAACCATCTGTGACGCGGGAACGTTTTTCTTTAAATTTCTTATGGAGCACGGCCTCAACACCATTTCGGCGATGGTATGAACTTAATGCCTTTAATTGGTTGTAGATTTTGCGTTCTTTCGGTGTATCTTTTATCTGATCGTGAATGCTGCCTAAAATTTTTGGAACTTTACTTAGTTAAAATTGAAAAAAAAAAAAATGAAATATTAACTTACAAAGCATTTCACGTTCTTTACGTAAAGCAATTAGATAGCGACGACGACGATCTTTAAGTATATTTTGTAAATGACTGATTTGGTCAATGTATAAACCCTGTAGTTTAGTAAGTTTAGCTTCTGAGATACGTACGGCTTCTTCGCGCGTATAAACGCCGGCATATCTATAGCAAACAAATAATTTAATATGTATGAAAGTTTGTAACAGGGGTAAAAAAATCTTACTTTAGCAAGTCCTCCGGGAGTTCATTTTCATTATCATCATCATCAGATTCGTATATATCAAAATTACGTGCCGAGCTTCTAATGCTAGGTCGTGTATCATAATCACTGGAACTATCGGAAGCATAATCCAAAATTCGTCGCTTTTTTTGCAATCTTGACACCACAGTGTTTAAACTGTTTATCTGATCATGTGCAACTATAAATACAAAATATTACCAAACAATACATTAACAACTCTTAAACAACTATTTACCAAATGGTGTTACATGCGGTGATACTACATCTATTTCCTCATCTTGCTCGCAACCACTTTGCAGTTGTGTATCTTCCACACTAATATGGTTGGCTAAATTGTAAAGTAATGCCTCATTTGTATCGGTGCATTTAAATTTACCTACAGTGGTGTGTGTTTTTCGTAATTGAGCTTGACGATTATGCTCAAAGCAAAGTGTTGTCAATGTTGGATCTTTTTTAATGTCATGTTTTTGTAACGCATTTGGACATTTCTTTCCATTTGGATAAATAAAAGTACATTGACGATAGAGACCACGTGGATCGCGTAAGATATGGCGCATACAATATTCACTGTCATCGACACGGGGTAGCGAGCATTGATGCGTAGGATTGGAGCAGGCTTTTGCTTTGTTTTCAATTTCCTGTTGCAATTGTTCACGCAGCTCCTGTATGCTGCCGCCAAAACGTAAAAACTGGCGTTGACGCAAATGTGAACAACCGGTAGACATTTTAAATTGTTAAACTTTACATTTATGTTTTGAGTCTTATAAACAATTATTTTTTGGGAGCTAATTTTTTGTTAAATACGTTTGAAAACGCAAAATACGTCATTAAAAAAATTGCACAAATTGAACAAACAGAAGCAGAATTTATTTACAAAATTGGAGATATCGATTACTTTAGTGCAAATCACGCTACCGATAACATTTATCATTACGCGTCATAATGCGGTGTCTACACGCAGAAATGTAAAGTTGCACGCTTTCAATACATGCTTTCAAGTGAACCTCTCTTTTTCGCACTTGATATTAGATTGTTATCATTTGAATACAGTGCTACCACTAACAGGCCTATTCCCACTGTTACCGGTAAAGTAAATTTTGTTACTTTTCTTTAACATCCGAAATTGAATTTGGTATTCTGGCGAACTGCTTTTTTCGTGCATGTCAAATTACATTTGTTAATAAAGTAAAATGAAAAAAACTCACATCGAAATTGTAGACGCTGCGCGAAAAAATCAATAAGTTTTATTAATTTGTTTATTAAATCATAGATATTTGAAACTAATTTTGGAAAATATGCCTGGACAACAAAAAAACTGAATGAAAACGTTATCTTACAAATTAAAGGGCTATTTTATAGTCTCGAAAACATCTTAAAATACGGATTTTTTGCACTTTTTTCTTCATCTTCAATGAATTGCAGGCCTAAAATATGCCTACCCATTTCGGTTTTTATTTTTTCTCAAGCTACCAACTCAAAATCAAACAGCAGATTTTTTTCTTACTTCCTATTTCGCTGAGTAAACTCAGAATACGATATAGTAACAAAATTTACTAAATGGTAAATTTTTAATACCAAAGTAAATTTTGTTACCTCGACAGAATAGGCCTGTAAATCACAATGCCATAAGCACCAGGTTGTAGCACTAGAACAGCTGGCTTTATGATTACAAACTTTTAATTGCATTGCGGCTTGGATTAAATTGTTGTGCTAATTTTGACAGCTGATTATTAAGTTTTTTTTTTTCAAATTAATATACTAATTATGTCAGCATGTGAGCTTAACCTGACCTATGAAAGTAAACTTTTTTTTACCAATTTTGAGCTGTTTTCCTTTAATTAACTTTGAAATGAAACAAGTTTATTTTAATATTTATTTGCATTTTTCTATTTTTATTTTTGTTTATTTCATTTCGTCAAATTGCACCTTCAAAAATCTAGCTCAACACATTACATTACTCTTTATATAGCATTCATTATCATAAATCTATAATCATAATAATACTTAACGTTAGGCAACATTTCCATTGATTATTAATTAATTGTTAATTCATTTTATACAAATCTAAATTAGTTCGTAGATATATGTATGTTAATTATCAAAAGTTGGGGTAGCATACAATATAGAGACAGATGTATTTATATATGTATTTCAATGAATTATTGTGTAGAGAGGTTATGTTAATAAAAAAAAAATTAAAAGTTAAAGTAATAAAGGTTTGTTTTAATTAAAAACCATTTTATGGCAGTAATTTTAAAACATATTATAAAGTAAAATATGAAAACAATTGCATTTTATTCAAAATTATATGGCACAGGTTTGCATTTGTGAGAAACGCAGACTTAATTAATTTGAAAAAAATTAAAATGCGGTGAAATAACTGATTTTTACTAAACTAAAGCTCATATCTACACTAATAATAGAAAGAAAATCCTTACTTTGCTATTGTTGATCGTTACTTTACAACACTTCAAATATGTATGTATGATCTATGTATATGTGATTATACAATATATGTATGTACGATAAAATGCATTTGTTTTTTCGAAATTTTATTATTTCTTGCGTAATTTTTTTTATACATTAGCTTATATCTTAAAATGGCTATTTTAATATATATACTTTTTCACTACACTGTATTTCATAATAATTTGCTTTCTTATACATATATACTTAAATATAATAACATATGTATCTATATATATCTATAATTTATTAAATACTAAAGCGTTATTGCACTTAAACTGAATTATTAACTAATTAAATACCTTAATTATATTTAGTTTTTTTTTAATAATTTGCTTAAATTAGTTAATATATTTTTATGTATATACTAATGTAGTCACGCTATAACTTATAGACACTTTTATATTTATTTAGTATTACTATTTATTTTTTTTCTTTTAATTAATTTATATTTTTTTAATTCTACTTACATTTTATTTTACTAAATACAATAGTTATATTTTATAAGTATGTATCATCTGTGTTTTTTCTACAATTCAACGCTCAGACTTGCACTTTTGCTGTTGATATACGTGTATGTATGTTTATAATTATTTATATGATTTACAATATATATTTATATATTTAATATATATATATATATATTTTTTTATACTATATATAAGTGAGTATGTATATTTTTTTCTAATAAGTAAAGCGTTTTTAAACTTTTAAAATATTTAATTTTTTTTACTCTGCCGCTTTACGTTATTTAAATCCTATGATCAAGCATTTATGGGCGTTTACACGTACTTTTTATATTAACACGTTAAGTGAAACTGTAAAAATATAATTTTTATAAACCTAAAAACAAAAATGGAACGCAAAATATTTCTCTTAGCAACTACATGGGAATGGAGTTTCTACAAAATATTCAAAATGAAGGTTATGTGAATGTAAAACTAATTTTCAGCTTCAAAACGAGATGGATCTTTTTTTTGGATTTTAAATTTCACTACATACAAGTAGGATTTGCACTAGTTAATACATGAGTATGTATGGATGCTTATTATAATTATATTTATTATTGTAATACTATTTTATTTTGTTTTATTTAAATGAATTCATTATTATTGTTATTTTTTTTTTTTTTGCTTCTTCGTTTTCATTTTATTTTTTCAATTCTTATTAATTCTTTTATTGTAATTAGCGTACATAAAACATATATATATTATTTTTGTTGTTGTTTATATTACTATTTATTTATATTCAATTAAATAGTTGTATATATTTATATTCACATTAACTTTTATTCGTAGTTTCATACCAATTTACTAAATTCTACATAATCCAAATAGTATTCTGTCAATCATTCCGCGCTATAATTAAATAACAACACTACATTTTAGCAACTATTGAACTTAAAAAGTTAATTTTTTTTTATGCCTTATAGCATTAATTCCATATAAAAAAAGTCACAATTAAATTAAAAAAAAAAAACAAAAGAAAGACAATTTTGGAATTTATTCACACATGTTTCTCCAAAATAAAAAAAAAAAAAAACAAAAAAATACTAAATGAAGTTATGCGATTTAAATTGTAAAAATTTAAATAAAAAATTAAAAAAATATATATTAAAATCGTATGATTGATGTGTTAAAAATTAAGAAAAAAATGAACTTATACGACTTAAACTGCAAGTAATTAAAAGAAATGAATTTAATATTCCGATTGAAATGAATTAAAATAAATTAAATGCCAAAAATGAAAAAAAATTGCAGACGAAATTATGCGATTTAAACTGTAAAAAACATTAAAAAATTGAGTAAAAAAAATTAGATCGCAAAAACCTAAAAAGAAATTTAAAAAAAAAATTAAAAATGAAGTTAAAATAAGTAAAAAAAGTGGGATTTGAATTGCTAGAAATTAAAAAAAAAATTAAATTAAATTATATGATTTAAATTGACAAGAAAAAAATAAAAAAAATTTACACGATTTTAATTGAAAAAAAAGAAAACAATTAAAAAGAAATATTAAAAAAAAATAATAATGTACAAGTTAAAATACAAAAATTGGAAAAAAATCAATAAATGTACACGATTTAAGTTGCAAAAACAAAAAACTTAAATAATATAGGATTTTTTTTAAAAGATTAAGATCGCAGAAAAAAAAATTAATGAAGTAATACGATTTATATTTCAAAAAAAAAAATTAATTTTCATTATTTACATTGCAAAAAATTACAGTTAAAGATATATTTTTAATTTTATCTGCTTTTTCTATATTAATTTTTGGGAACTGAACTTCTTTTTGCGAAACATTTAATTTTTGATCGTGCAAATTTTTTAATGCAATATTTTGAGAAACAAAAATAAAAACAAAAAAATAAAAAAATATAGTTTTTTCATTTATCTGCGTTTTTTTATTTTTATTAATTGCGAGTGCTGTATTTTTTATATAAATAAAAATTTTCAAACAAATCCCAAGTAAATAAACTTTCATTGTGATTCCAATTATTATTTATGTTTAGATCAGAAAATATTTTTCAAATTACTTTTTTGACTTCCGATAAACTTGGTTTGATGAAGAATAGAAAAACCAAAAATTAATCATTAATTATTCCTATATACCAAAAAAAAATAAAACATTTCTGTTGATTCTCGAGCAATGAATTTCTTATAGATAAATTGAAAATGCAGATATGTAACAGAGCGGAAAAATATATATATTTTTTTTAATTACACAGCAATATATAGACTTTGATAAACTTTTTTGGTTCAATAGCTGAAATAAAATAAATAATAAAAAAAATTAATAAATTAATTATAAAACTTTGATAAACTTTTTTGGTTCAATAGCTGAAATAAAATAAATAATAAAAAAAATTAATAAATGAATTATAAAACTTTGATAAACTTTTTTGGTTCAATAGCTGAAATAAAATAAATAATAAAAAAAAAATTAATAAATTAATTATAAAACTTTGATAAACTTTTTTGGTTCAATAGCTGAAATAAAATAAATCATAAGAAAAATTTGATAAATTAATAATAAAAGAAAACAACAATAAAATTTCTTTTGTTGAATTAAATAGCTGCACTTTATTTATTTATTACAAAAGGCGAAAAAAATATATATATCTATATAATACAAAAATTATAAGAAACTTAACTTTCTAAAATTTCACTTAAGTTTATTAAGGCAATATATGTTTGGTTAAAAAAAAAATAAAATTGAGCTATTTTCGTATGTGAGTAAGTTGAAGGCAATTTTTTTTACCAAAAATAAAAAGTATATATTAGTGCATTGCATATTGGAAAATTTTAAATTTATTACAGTCAAATATTAATATCTCTCTGTTGCTTTTTTTTTACTTTGGAAAGATTTAAATTTAATAAAGGCAATTAATGTGGCATAAAAATTAAAGAACAAAAATATAGCTGCCGACTAGGTACTGAAAATGTTATAAGCTTAATATTAAAAAAAGAAAAAATACTTTAAGGCTTACTTTAAATTTTCGCAAAAGAATTATATTATTTTTAATGTAAATATTTTAGCACTTTTAACGGCTAAATGTGCTCTAACAGATTTAAATATATTTATATAGAAAATACGTTAAATATTTTAAAATTATAACTATTAAACAAACGTAAAAAATTAAAAATTATACGTTTACTGTCCGTCTATTGCTTTAATTTTTTCATTTTTTATGCATTTCTAAATACATACACATTATGGACGAATTATTGTTAATATAATCACAAAAACAAAAAAATATATTTCGTTTGTCTTTTTTCTAACATTTTTAGATGTTATTCTTATGGAAGCTATTGATTTACAAAACTGATTTAAACTAAAATTTATTTAATTTAATAAAAACAAAATATAACATTTACAAAATAAAAATAAAGAAAAAACGGAGTTATGAAAAATTCTCACCGTACTCTCTGCTATATATTAAACTCAACTCAGTTTAAGATATATTTTTTTTTTGGTTCCTTGTATATCTATTTTTTTAATTTCTATTTTTTGTTTTGGTATTTCAACTATTGTGTTTTTATATTTCTTGGTTTTTTTGCTACATTTTCTTCACTAATTCTTTTCACTAATTTTAGGAAAAATCTTATCGGTTTCATTTCAAGTCCTTTCAAAGTGATTGTAGCGGAAGAGCTGCCTGGTCGTTGTTTTAAAGTTTTTGTTTAATGTTTTTTTTTTGTTTTTAATACTATTGATGATTTTTAAATGGGAGTTTGGAGTGAATTAAAGTTCTTGGTGTTTATTTGAGGTATTATAAAATTAATATTCGAAAAGGGGATGTTTTTGTTTTATTTTGAAAGAGTGATTTTTTTCGTAATTAAAAAAAATTATATACTAAAATAATTACAAATTAAAATTCTTATAACTAATATTTTTTTCAATTATTTTTTTTAACAGATTTTCGCACATATTTGATTTTTAAATATTTTATGAAAAAACATTATTTTACAGCTGAATGAAAAAAAATAAGTTTTTACTGTAAAAAAAACATTTACTTATACATATTTTATGAAAAAACATTATTTTACAGCTGAATGAAAAAAAAAATTGTTTTTAATGTAAGAATAAAATATTTACATATACATACACACATATAAAAATTATTATTAAAATTATTATTTTTTAGAAAGTAAAAAAATTACTTTTTTATTATTTTTATGAAGAAAATATACATATATGCACTTGCTATTTATAAAATTAATTTACTGACTTTTATGATGAGATTCAATTAGGTTATTTATTGCAAAAATTATAAAGAAAATTAATCGTTTGTTAATAAAAAAAAAATCGCTTATAGGCAATAACTAATGCATATTTATACTTTAACAATATCTTTAAGTTTTTTCTCTTTAAAACATAATTTTTTGTAAGTACAAAATCAATTAAAATAACATATGGAACACAAAATGTCGTTAGATAAATTTAAATATTTTAAACTTGTGTAAGAGTTTTTTCAGTAAATTATTTTTAAACATAATATATATTATAAGGCAACAAACGCCAAAAAATTTTAGTATCTATAAAAAATGCATACTTTCACGATAAAAATGAACAAAAAAAAAATTAATACTACCAAAAATCATCTCCTAAAATTTATGCCTTTTTAGCAGCCAAATATTTACTAATTAACGTTATAGTTTTGATTATTTAATTTTTTTTTTTAATTACGTTTAACATATCGGTTTTTTATGCCGGCACACAAATTCAATTAAAAATGATAATTATGTTTAATAAATTTTAATCAGTATGCTCAACGTCATTCAATCGTCAATATAATTTCAATTAATTTGAATATTATTTTGAAATTCAGTACAGCTAATGTATGAATCAATTATTTCGTAAATATTACTGATTAATCATTCAATTTAATGCATAACAGTCTTTTTAGTTCACAAATAACTTAAAAGACATAAGTTGATATGTGGTTGGTTCAGCAAATGACCGACCATATTTAACCGTTTTTTTGTTTCTTTAAATTAGCTGACATTTCTAATACAGTATTTTTTTTGTATTAAAATTAGCTTTTCTTTACTATTATCTTGCACTTAGCTTAGCAGTAATTACAATTAAACAATTTTATTTTAGCTTAAATCTATGCGTACATATGTATGTATGTATATTTATATATACTTCTACAGAAATGAAATTAAATTTTCATTTAACATGCTTTGTGCTTAAAACTTAACTTAATATTTAATGAATACAATATCGATACGTGTTGTTCATGTTTGATCTATTAATTTCGTTTCTCGTCGTTGAATCCATTGGATAACAACTAAATTGCTTGCAGGCCGGTAGAAATGATTTCGCAGCGTGGAAATTAATATATTTACTGCTTGTTATTTATTTATTTGTTATTTAGTTTAAAATTTTTTTCTTAGTTTCTTTACGGGTTTGGCAAATTTATAACTAAAATTGATTTTTGTTCGAACGTTTTGATTATGGGAAATTTACTAGGGTTAATAATAAGTATACTTCTAGGCGCATTCAAGTTTAGGCGTGTGTTGCATGTCAACTAAGGATAACAATCTAATTGGTGTAATTGTCAAATGAACCAAGATATTCTAAAGCGGCTCGGTAGCAGAAGTGATATTGATCCTGAAATAGAAAGAAGAATACAAAAGTTGCATTTAAAGTTTATAAAACTTTAACTTTAATGTTGTTAATTTTAATGTGAAATTTTGTTTTTTGTTTACATTTTATTTTATTTATTGTTTCTTTACATTTTATTTTATTTGTTTTTTGTTTACATTTTATTTTATTTGTTTTTTGTTTACATTTTATTTTATTTGAATAATTTCCCTTTGTTTTATTCTATTCGATTTCTTTTTGTTTTACTTTTACTTTGATTGATTTTAATGTATTATAATAATATCATCTTTTTAAATTTTTTTAAATTTATTTAGCTTGCTTTTACCCTAATTCCATTTCAATTTTCATGTTATTTCAACTCACATGATTTTCTTTTATTTTAATTAAAATTTTTCTTTTTCACGACTACCGGTCTTAGACCAAATGTCATCTGGTTAGCCAACCAACCTCCGTTTGGGAGCAATCTAAAATGAGAATGCGAGTTCCTCTGAAGTTTTGCGTAGGAGCGGATCCCAACACCACATGAAGTATATACTCCAATGGAAAATAGCAAAAAGGCCCGGATGAGGCCTGGTACTCTACACACATATATACAAATAAATATTTCCACTGAAAATCATCGAAATTGGAAGATTTTATCATATTATATAACCTCTCCAAGCGATTTTTCAGATATGAGAATTAATATTTAATCATTAAATAAAATTAAATAAATTTGATATGATAACGAAAGGTATAAAGACTTCGGTCCGACTGAAGGCCTCACTTCTTTCTAATATGTAATTTAATTTTACTATTTTTTATTTTACTTGAATTTATTACACCCTTTCATTTAATTTTAATTTATTTAATTTAATTTTGCTTTTTTCAATTTTGTTTTATTGGACTCCAATTTTTTAATTTTCAATTTTATTATGATTATTTTGTTTAATAACAATGAAGATAAGAAATAAAATAATTAAAATTAAAGTAAAAATAAAAACCACTTAAAATGAAATTAAAAATAAAATAAATATCAAGTAATATGAAAAAATAAAAAAAATTAATCAAAACGAAATAACCATAAGAAAACCAAAAGAAGTCAAATAAGATGACATAACATAAGAAATAAAATAAATCATATAAATCAAAAATTAAATTAATATTTATATTTATTTTATTTTTCATTTCATTTCACGTTGTTTTAATTTGAATTTGAATTTGAATTTGAATTTGAATTCGAATTTGAATTTGAATTTGAATTTGAATTTGAATTTGAATTTGAATTTGAATTTGAATTTGAATTTGAATTTGAATTTGAATTTNATTTTTAATTTAATTTTGAATTTGAATTTGAATTTGAATTTTAATTTTAATATTAATTTTAATTTTAATTTTAATTTTTTTCATTTTTTATTTCATTTTTTACTTATATTTTTATTTCACTTTATTTCATATAATATTTTATTTGAATTTCGATTCATTTAATTTTTTTCAGTTTATTTATGTTATATAGCATTTGAAATAATTTTAGTTCTCACCTCCGTTTGCACCATAGCTGGCCGCTGAGCCCGTAGTATGCGCACAGTTTGGAATACATCTAAAACACCTTCATATTGCATACGTTCCAATACAATGCTGAGTGTTATAAAAACACCCGTGCGGCCGACGCCAGCGCTACAATGCACCGTAATTGGCCCATCTTGACCGAATTGTTCTTTTGTCTTATGCACTTGCCCAATAAAATCGATAAAGCCTTCACCAGACTTCGGGACACCCTGTTCCGGCCAATCGATAAATTGAAATTGGCGAACTGTGCGCGAAGAACCGTCGCGTGCATCGGTAACCTGAAACGATGGAAAAGTATAGCGAATTAGAAACAAGAAACAATTATTTTATACTTGATTTCATCATTTCGAGCAAGCGAGATGAGAAGCATTACGCTTCCAGCTTCTTAATTGAACTCACCTTGAACTCGCGAAGTTTATATTGTGGCATATTGTATTCGGCAATTGGATCTACCACATAATATTGATAGCGCACAGAGCGTTCGTGTGGCCAGTACTGGTAGCATTTTTCCTGTAATGAGTATGAATTTAATTTTTCAGCTCGAATATCTTGATCTCTTTCTACTTACTCTTCCCATTTCCTTGAGTTTGGTCAGCATAACAACAATAGTTGAATTGTGCTCCCACAGCATACGCCAAAAGTCTTCAGCGGTATCCTGTACCGGACCCTGAGCGGCAATATAAGCCGAGCGATAGCGATAGCCATCAATAAAGCTTGCATTTATATAATCACTCCCTTCGATACCATGTATGGGTGTTAGGTACACACGGCTCGATTCATACGGTAGTATGTGTACCAAACGGTTTTTATTCTTATTACATGGCAAATTAGCGGTTACGAATTTCGATGAGTCCACCTTGACATTGGAAAGTTTCTTAAATTCCATTTCCATGCCAGTGATATTCTCACCCGGTTCGGTTAGTAATAATTTTTGTAGGTGGGTATGAAGGTTGCGTGCTGGCACCTCGGTTTGACCGCATATAATCGCCTCCAAGATCGCGTCGTGTATGAAAATATATTGATCTTCCGTCTGTACCATGTAATTACGTTGGGCGCGCAAGCAAGTGACATGTCCGTATATGTCGATGATCTTTTCATGTTTCATGCGTTCCAACATTGAGTCGATAACAATATAACAACCAGTACGTCCAACACCAGCTGAACAATGTACCACGACGGGACCAGAATCGGGTGGTGTGAGTGCGCGACAACGACGTAGGAATTGTAGGAATGGTGCGGGATGTTCGGGTACACCGTGATCTGGCCAAGCAGTAAATTGCAATTGTTTGATCTCCCGACGTTCGTTGAAGCCTTGTCGGCAAATCTGGAAGGTACGTATGCTATAGGTTGCCAGCTCCTGCGTCTCTGTAATGGTGACAAACATTTGTCCGTAGGTCTCAGTGCCACGCACCGGCCAATATTGATCGCATTTAATGCGCGTACGTTCCTCCAGGCGCGTCATCATGACAATAGTCGTCGTCTTTAATTCCCAACACATCCTCCAAAAATCGCTGAAGGTTTCCTGTAGCGGTCCCTGAGTTGCCACATAAGCATTGTGCTTTCGATAGCCATCGCAGTAGTTCGCATTAATGTAATCCGAGCCAATGACGCCGTCCATCAGCGGCAACTGCACACGCGAATGATCATAAGCGGTAACATTGGCGTAGCGGTTTTTCGATTTATTATAGTCGTAATTGGAGTTGTCCCATGTGAATTGTTGGCCCGGCTCAATGCTTTCATATTCTTGCGAAAACTTCTGATTGTCATTCGCTTTAAGTCGTTCAATATGATTGGCGAATTCGGAAATGGGTATGGGCGGATGCGAAATCATGCCGGGTGTTTGGAAGTTTAAGCGACGCATATCGACGGGATCGCTCGGTGTGGGACCTGCACCCAGATCAGCAGCCATCAGTGGACGCGTGACAGCAGCTTGATCGGGCGTTTTGCATGGTTGACGACGGCGACGCACAATGCACCAGGTAACGAAGATGGTGAAAATTAGTGCGGCTACAACTGGCAGTGCTACCCACCACATGCCTTGTTCGTCCTTGTTGCGATTGACGGAGACCTCAGGTTCTGAGGGCCAGTTGGGATCGGGTCGGTGTGGTCGCTCGCCTGGTGGCGCTTCACGCATATCCAACGAAAGAAACTCGGAGAACGGACTGGACGTGTATAGATGCTTTTGTGGTGTATCGACAACGGCGCGTACAAATATACGATAGCGCTTGTCACGTTCTAGCTTACGGTTGGTGAAGTTGTGGTAATCGTCGCCGGAGCCGAGATGGAATGTAAATGGTATGGAACGTTGTGGAAACTTGGCGGCAATATAAGGCGAGTTGGGACGCTCCGGTTTATTGCGTCCGGGCAGCAGGTCTTCAGTTAGGAACTGATCTGGATTCTTATGCAGGTTTGATTTATCCTCAGGTACCACAACCAGGTAGTAATGTGAAATGGGTCCATACTCTTCGGAAGCTTGCGGCAGTATTACAAGTATTTCTTCACCATTCACCACACCGTAAAAGTCCGGTTTCACCATCGGTTGCGGTGCGGCCATTTGAGTTGTAACTGTGATCTTGGTAGGCGGGCGGTAAGAGTAGTCGGATGGTATAGCACTCACATTCACATTGTACGTGGTGAAGGGGCTCAGCTCATTGATTGTATGCGATTTCACATAATGCTTCAGTATAATATCACGCTTTTGCACAATTTGAGTTTGCGTAAAGCCTTGGGAGTCTACGAAAACTTTCATCGCATCGAAGGAGATTTTGTAATTGATCGGGTTAAGACGTATGGGTGGCGACCAACTCAGTGTCATTGAGTGTGTGCTTACATCATGTGCGCGCAAATTCAGTGGCACATCCTCCGGCTTTATCTTGACGGTAACCTTCTCGCTCAGACGCCCAAGACCGCTCTTAAAGCGCGCTGCTATTGCCACAGCGTATTGCGCAAACTTCTCAAGATTTACCAGATCCGCTGACTCTGTAAGTCCAACAGTTTTCGTCTGCCATTCATCCAAATCTTCAACCGCTGTCATTGTATAGAAAATCTTATAGCCAAGTAGCTTGCCACGAGACGGCACTGGCTCCCACCATATCTCAGCGGTTTGCTCGGATGTCGCTACCGCCTGCACAGACATTGGCGCGCGACCCATATCACGTTCCGTTTCAACGAAGATTTTTTCGCCAAACGGACCCGCACCTTGTTTGGTGTACGCACGCACGCGGAAGATGTATTCGGTATTCTCCTCCAGATTTGTAAATACAGCCTTACGTACAGTCATATTTCGTTCCGAACCTAAACCATGATCGATTTTCTTATGAAATTGCACATCGTAGCGCGTTATAATGCCATTGCGGTGTTCACGTGTTGGTGGATCCCACGTTACACACACAACATCGGGTGTTTGGAAGCGCACTGTTATATTTGCGGGCGGTCCGCCAGGTGTGCCCTCGGGCGTTTGGAAGATTTTCACTGTTTCCTGACCGATACCAATGTGATTGCTACCCGCAACCCGAAATTCATATTCAACGCCCCGTTCCAAATCATTGAAACGCCGTTTCGTTATCTGTGGTCCGGGTAGTATTTCCTCTTTCAACGGTTGATCTTTGACACCCCAACGCAAACGATAACCACGTAGCTCACCATAGGTTTGCGCGGGTCGTTCCCATTCCAATTCGATTGAAACAATTGGATCGCGCTCCATTATTTTCAAGCTCACTGTGGGACGTACGGGTACACCACCGGGTGTTTTCACTATTACTGCTGCACTGCGATCGCCGTCACCTTTGCGCGTTAGTGCGGCAACTTGAATAGAGTATTTGGTATCGGGTTGCAAGCCAGTCACATTATATTCTAATGCATCAACGACGTCAAACTTAAGTGGTTCATTCAGGAAGCCCTTCCCCTAGGAGAAACATAATTTGTTCAATATGTTCTTTAAGAGAATTGTTTAAATTGATATGATGAAACTTGAGGTCTTTAGATTTTATACTGCCAGAAAATGGACCTCAGAGAGGTTTTTTTTTATTACATAGTTTGGCGATCAGGAAGTTTCCGTCCGATAGTCGCCCCAATACAACTTGGAAAGAAAATGCCACTGCCTGTTCTGAGCATGGATAAATTTCTTGTTGGTCCAACCATGGTAGTGGTTAATTTCATTCGGAAGGATGGAAATAACTTAAGACTCCGATGAGTTTTTGATGGAACGTAATCCACAATTTCGTTAAGAGAGTGCACATGGCAGTTCAGTTTTGTATAGAAGAAAGCCTTAGAAATTTGAAGTAGTGAAAACTTGAAGAAGTTCGTCCCAATTTTGTTCGTAAAACGGATTTTTCGCCACATTGACGATATGTGTCTGACCTTCTACTAGAATTTTATCTCCAGATTTTAACCCTCGCTCAGCAATTTACTATCCAGATTGCGGCAGCTCCACTAGAGCTAAATTGCACGCACATGGCGGTTAATAACACAGTCTCTGATTGGTTTATCATACTGTGAAGCCACCTACATCACATCTTAGTAGTTCGAAGAAGTACCTTTCCATTGAGACTTCATCTATAGAAGCGTAATAAATAATTATCGCACAACAAATCGGATGAAATCTTTTGGAAAGCTCACTCTTTGAGCATGAAGATGGCCCCGCGCTCTTTCTTCGCGGAATATGGCTCAGCTCTGAACAAAACTAAACGCTAAAGGCAGCTGGTAACACTGCTTATTAATGATAAAACTAAATTAAAGTTTATCTCATAATTAACTTCAGCTAATCTAAATAACAAGATGAAAAGTGGATCGCTTCTCTTGTAGCAACATCAAACGAAAGCGGTCGTGGTTGAACAGTGAGCCATCACAAATGGTCTTCAAAGCAGGATTGACGGCCATGCAGGTTTTTTGTGCCTTTGGTGGGATTAGCAAAGAGTCGTCCACTATGAGCTGCTACCTAACGGCCAAACACTTAATTTAAACCTCTACTGTTAGCAATTGGACCGTCTGAAAGAAGCAATCGTCCAGAAGCACCCAGCTTTGGCCAACAGGAGGACAACGCCAGACCAAACACATCGATAGTGACTCGCTAGGAGTTCCGAGAGCATTGTTGAGAAGTTCTTATGCAACTACTTTATAGAACAGGCGGCACACCAAGTGATTACCATCTCTTCCTGTCTGAAGATAAGGTTGTGAAAATCTATTGTCGCAATGTTGTGCAAATAGGGATGAGTTTCTACGATAGAGGCATAATTATATAATATATAATTGGCGCTATGTAACCGCTGAAGCGCTTTTTGGCCGAACTCCTCCTCCAATTTGTGGTTTTGCGTCTTGATGTTTTTCCAATAAATGAAGGGACCTACTACAGTTTATACTAAGCCGCCTCTGTACGGCCGATGGGTTTTTTATGAGTAGCTTTATATCATGTCAGAGGGGTTGACATTCCTTGCCGAGGGTAGACTGCAATTGGAAAATCTAATTTAATTTTTTATTAAAATTAATTTTCTACAAACTTTTTGGATTTTAGTATGACACCAGGACTTGAACCCGAGCCTTCCAAATGGCAGTACGCGATGCTAACCACTCGGCTACCGCGGCCGCCGGGCATAATGATATTAACCTCAAAACGGCAAAGAGTTATGAAGCAAAACAGTGCATATTTGACATGAATGGAATATTACAGAAGTGCGTTTTTGGCAAACTTTTCATCTGTCTGAGGAGTACAAATCAGAAGTTGTACAGAAGAAGGTTTTACCTAATATTCCTTATGTAGTATACAATTCTCGCCGCTCAAATGTTTCATGAGTATGAAAAGACCTACTGCTTGGGAATCCTGCTAAAAGACTATGATCTCTTTTCCTTCTATGAAAACATCGCGTGAACAAAAAAGGGTTTAGGTAGAAAAAGTTGGACGACACCATACATACTGCAACCCTGCAGGAATGTGGGACTTGTATAAAATCCACTTACCTCATCACGCATTTCTTGCACGTGTATATGATAGCCACGTATAATACCATTACGATCTTTCTCCAGTGGTGGTTTCCAGGTCACATGAATTGAAGTTGAATTTAATGGAGTTGCCTTCACGTCTTGAGGATCTCCAGGCACTAAATATGGTTGTAGCGGGGAGGGGAAGAAATTTTGCATTATTAAAATGAAATTCAATAAAATACACAAAACGAATGATGTCGTTCATGAAACGAGTGGTAAATAGTTAGTGGGTTGGATACCTAGCGGAATTTTAGTTAAATAGAATACTTATAAATATATACATAAATACATGTATGCTAATTGAAATACAGAAATACAATATATATTTAGTTAATTTGAAAACTAGGAAATATAATACATACATACATACATAAGCATAACATATCTACAATATACTATAAACTACATACGTACATAAACTGTTGTAATAAATAAATGGCATAAATAGTTTGCCACATGTTTATGTAATACATAATTTTTACGAAAAATTTTTATTTTTAGTTTTTTTAAAGTGTATTGATTTAATAAAAATTTATTTATTAAAAAAAACCTAGAATGTAGAAATGATTACATCACATTTTTCCTATAAATTCCTAAATATTTCGATTTCGCAAAGCAAGTTTTATAAATAAAGAATTTATTTATTTGAATCTTTTTAAAATGTATAAATAAAAGTTTTTTTTTTAGGTGGGAAGGGAACAGGTTTTACGTTGTGACGCAGAGTGTACAATTTTTTATTGCGTTTTTGTTACTAAATTTTTTTTTAAATAGTGCTTTCAAAAATTTGAAATGTGAAAGATTTTAATAAAAAAAAGTTCTCAAATCAAAAGCATTAGCCAAAAAATTTGTTTGAAAACGCATTCATTTTTCAAAAAAACCATTTACAAAAAAAAAAAAAAAAATTGAAAGGAAATTAAACTAAATATTGTTTAAACATATTCGGTGCTCTCAAAAATTGTGCTTTATATTTGTGCAATAAAGACATTTATTAGCATACCGAAGTATATTAAAAAGTAGTATTTACATACAAAAAAAAATTGTTTGAAAATTTTTCGAAGAAAAAACTAACAAATATAAAACAAAGAACTTTCACAAAAAATGCAGTGAAAGTGGTTAAAACTTTTTTTTTTTTTAATAATAATTTAATAGGTGCAATAATAAAATGTTTACTATAAAAATATGTGCTGGAAAAATTTTGCTAAGGTTTCAAAAATATTTTTTTTTTTTTCAAAAATTCCAAAAATGTTCCATTTTAAAAAATAGTGCAAAATCATTCGATTTCCTCTGTGCCTGCTATTTTTTACTTTCACTTACTTTCGTAAAAAAAAAAATGGAGCAGAAAAGATATTAAGTGAAAATACATAAAAAAGAGAGATTTTTTTAAAATATTAATTTATATGTATGCATAATGTGCACGAAAAATCGTAAAAATTCTTATCAACTATTATTTACACAAAAAAGGATAAATTAAATTGTATATGCATTTGCATACAGTAACATTCTTAAAGATATACCTAATTAAATGATTCATTACAAGTAAATGGTGAACAAAATTCAAATACAATTACTTGCATATATGTATATTTTTGTGAAAATTTTTACTGTTTTACAGTGTAGCAGGTGGAATGTGGAGATTTCGCATCGACGCGTTACTTACACAAAACAGCATGTTAGTGTTGGTAAACGATGTATTTTTTTTTTATTTTTTAATTTTGTAAAATTTTGTATTTTTTTATAGTTTTTTCTTTTTTTTTCTGTACAGTGTGCCATTATAGTGTGCATTTGAATTTACTAGTTAAATAAAAATGACATTTAGAAATTTCCATACATATTTTTATTAAATTTATATGCTACTACATATTATGTATTTGTAAAAATCCCTTAAATGCTATAAAAAATACTCACTTTTTTTGACTATATTCATTTCAAGAGTTTTTTATTTTATTTTTTCATTATAAATTTTCAAAACATCATCCATTGAAAAGTGTGCGTTGCATTAAAAATTTTCAAAAATTGTGCATTGTTTTTTTTTTTTGTGAATTCAAAAATAGTATTTTCACACACAATCATATACATAGAGTTATAGTTATCATATAAAAAATCGAAAAAATGTGTTTTTGGTGCGTTTTCATCCAAAAATCGAACGCAAGACAAAATAGGTGCGTTTATATTTTCGTTGTGCATTAGTATAATTATTTTTATTGAATATATAAGTATATATATATATATATTTTTTTCAAGTCAAACACACGTTGTTGGTGCAATAAATTTCAGTTTGTTGTATTTTGTTGAAGCGAGTGGCCAAAAAATATGAAAAAGAGAGAGAGAAAAAAGTTCCTGTGGGTTTGGCTTTTCAAAAGTACTTTTCAGTTAATGCAAAAAAATGCTGATGCCGTAATCTTAAGAAAAAAAAGTAATTTAAGAATATTAAATTTTTATTTTTTTTTTATTTATAGTTATTATAATTTTTTTTAGCACTTTGACTTGGAATTCGTTGCAATATGTTTACATTATATTTGTTGGCGCACTCGCTTTAAAATGCATTCAAAATTAAAACTTTATTTGAATGAGAAAAAATGTTATTAGTAGTAAATCAAAAGCGAAAATCCGAAACTTAATTTTAAACATAAAACAATGCAAAAACTTTAAAAATTTAATCAATTTTGTAATTGAAAAAATCAATTAAATTATAATATATAAAACTTGCTCGAAAAATTTTAGATACGCTAACCATTGGCACTTCCTTACTTTGGTGGTGTACTTAATTTTGGCTAAGCACATAAAATGCAACACTGCATATAAGGTTACCCTCGTAAACGCAGAACTGAGACTCATTTGATTTATAAAACAGTTTAAAATATATTTCTTATTTTTTTCTTTAAAAATATTTTTTAATTAAAAATAACGCAATAATTTTTATATATTTATTTATATTAGTTTGCAGGGTACTTGTATATGGAAAATGAAATTTTTCCCCAAAATCTTTTAATGATGTATGCAATAATTTTCATTAAATCTTTTCATCAAATACCTTCAGACATATTGTTTTCGGAGTTCGCGCATAGTATAATTAATTGCAGTGGAATGCTAAATTGCAGAGAAATTGGGAAAATATGACCTTTTTATAATTAATTATATTGGAATTTAATTTATTTGGTTACTAATTTGGGTTACACATGAGAGAAGTTTTTAAAATTACTGCTGGCGAAAAAAAAAACAAATTTCAACTACTTGTTTCAAAAGTACGTGTGTATGTATTCAAATATTTATAGTGGCAACATATGTATTTTAAACATATATTACGTGGAATACAAAGTTTGAAATAGCGGATATTTTTAAATGATTTATTTAGCTTACATTTATTTGTTTGTACTTACCTTTTACAGTGTTGCATTTTATTGTATTTTAATTGCATATGTTTTTAAATAGTTTATAGCTTAACTTTAATCTAGTTTCATTAAACAACATAAAATATATAACATTAAATAAGTTGCGATTACTTTAATAACGTTTTTTTATGTATAAATAATAATAATAATAATAATAACAATAATAATAATAGTAATAATAATAATAAATAACAATGACAATGACAATAATAATAATATTTTATGCCTAAAATAATTTATACTGCAATCATAAAATTAAAATACACGTACATATGTTTTTCGAGTATATTTATTCCTACCTATAATTAATATACTATATATATATTTATATATATATATAATTAACGCTTTGTAACCGCTGAAGTGATTTTCAAATAATTACGTATAATTACTCGAAATGTTGTTTTCATAAAATATCGAATTTTCAAGAAATATTGAAATATATCTTTCATAAACTTTTACAAATGTAATTTTTCTATAAAATTTTATTTATTTATTTTTATAAAAAACCATATAAATACTTTTTCGAAAGTATTGCGAAATAAAATATTATTATTTGCTAATTATTTATATTAATTTTTAATTAGTAATTCGATTAAAAAGCTGAAAATATATTAATTCAATGCATTTGATTGAATGTTATGTATATTTGAAATAGCTTAAATATTCTAGAAAAGCATGGCAATTTTGCATATAGTTTTAAATTTTTTTATAAAAGCCGGTGAATTACCAAAGCAAATATGAGTATCTTAGTATCGGGTTTAATAAAAGGTGAGTTTTTGATAGAAAAAACTATTATTTCGTCTGTATTTATAAATATATATAATACGGAATGTATAAAACTCGATGTTTTATTGAGTCAATGCTTAGCAGAAATAGAGCTCTACTCATTAGAATAAAATGCGACTGAGAAAAGCACATAACATAGATAAAGGTTAAAAAATTAGACTATAAATTCATTGATGGATCTTTTTACGGTACAAATTTTATTAAACATGCTCACAGAGCGGGTAGTTGCACCATCAAAAGACTTTTGCAGAAGTTGTAGTAAAGAAGAAGAAGAACCTGAAACCTTAAGGCACTTCCTTTACGAATGCCTCAAATTTTAGATGGGCGGCAAACATTCGAGCTCGAAATAGCAAGTGCAATAATAAGTGAATTATTCTGTTTTGCTAACTCCCCACATTGGTTTGACTAATGAATGGAGGCTATTAAGGTCCTCTATGGTATCACAATGAGCCCGTTTTGTGAACTCAACGCAAGACCTACCGCATGTGGGCGTTTGGTGCGCATCTTAGACTGGATACATTGAACTATACCAAATAATGCACACATTTTGTCGTTACGAAGCAGGAATAACTATTCTCATTCATCTCGGTTAAGTGCAGTTGATAATGACGATATCAAGACTGTAATCGAATCGGATCGTCATGTAACTGAGCGTGAGTTTGCAGAGACGTTAAGGAAACCCTCCATTGATATTGGAAAAAAATCAGGCAAAGTTAGTTTTTTTTTAGTGGGCGAATAAAAAGGTGTACGAGCTTCCGGTTTGAACTATTAAGTTTGTTTACTATTTGAGATTTCAAAACGCCAAAGAAAAAATGACGGCTATAAAATGGCGCTTTCCGTCGGGCTCTGCGCGAAAATCATGTCCCAAGAATTTCAAGCCTACAGCCTCTTGTAGTAGACTGATACCAAAATCAACCGTTCATAATTATAATCGACGT